ATATATCCTGATCACAGATTTAATACTTCTATAAAGATACTTTCGTGTACGAGCTCATTGTAATATTTGTACGTTCAGTCTAACAACTGGTATTTATAGGACAGACTTATCCCAGACTAGTAATTTGTTAAAGTGAAATTTGATTTCTGTAGCACCTTTTTTGTAAAATAATGTATAATGGAAAGATAACAGAGCTGTCTAAATATCACCAGGGCGAAAACTCTGATAACTAGTATTTCCGGCCTGGGCAATACCCAACAAATGATAAAAACCGGGCAACATGACTTTTCATCTTTAATTTTTCTGCATGCTATATTCTTATATAGACAGAATACAAGTACAAAAAAAAAACATGTATGCACAGTTGTGGATACCTTGTTTATTAAAAATACTACTACATTTGATATGTTACCATAGTAAGAACTGATCGAATTTTAATTACATAGTTATTATAATTATGATTATACAAGGCTAGGGTACCTGATGAGGAAAAAAAAATAACTAAATGATATCTAAAACACAAGGAGCAGCATGATCAATTTCAAATCATTGAAAATCGAAGGTTGCTTCTTGATTACCACAGATCATTACTGATGAAAAATCATTGCTTATATGCAAATGAGTAAAACCCTGATAATCTTCTCACACACACAGACACACACACACATTTCTAACCATCTTACATAAGAAAAGTCAAATCAGGTTCCAATAGAAATAACTAGAAAATAAACGCATATAGTATACACAGCAAGGCTTAAAGTTGGGCTGCTGCAACAAATTTGAATCTTATTGAAAGGGTGACTACATCAGACAAACTTGGTACTAATCAATTGTTATAATACACAGATTTAAGCTATATGAGCTTTCGCAAAGTGGTGCTTAAGTATAGTCAATGAGACAGTGTAGACTTCTAGCAATATGGTGCTTAAGTGTAGTCAATGAGACAGTAGACGTCTAGCAAAATAGTGCCTAAGTATAGCAAATGAGAAAGTATATTTCTAGCAATATATTTGTAAAATGTAATGCCCTAGCACTACCTTGTGTGAAACATTGAGAAGGATTGATGATGGTTCATTGAGTCTTTTTAAGATAAAAAGATTTGTAGCATCTGCGCACTTTGTCAACTAGATTTGAAAGATGTGTATTGTGACTTATTGCATACTACTTTTGTGGTGATGTAATTAGCTATCAAAATGTGATTTATAAATGCATGTTGATAATGTGACTTCGTTGAGGTTAATACTAGTTTAAACATATATTGTTCAAAATGACAAATTGATCGGACACAAGTTTTACTGCTTGGTAATATCTCTTCAAAATTCTAAATAATGTTGTAGAATGTTTCTTAAATATTTCTTTATGAACAAGATTGAAAATGTATTAAGCAACCATATTTCCTAGAAAATAATTTAAAATCATCAAGACGATACCTACTTAACTAACACCAAATCCAGAAAAGAAACCTAATAGATGCCCATCACGGTGGAAGGAGGTAGGGTCAATTTCCCTCTGAATTTATTTCACACCAAGACTGGCGTCCTTCTAAAAGCCTAGTCGTGAATATTCAATATCTAGAAGAATGTGACAACTTTTAGATTTCAGTCTAGTGAGTGACACAAATACATGGGGAAATTAGTCCTACCTCTCTGTCCCTCGCGCTTCGTGGATAGCTAAGGTTGTTAAACACCCCGTAGTGAATACTGGGTTTATCAAGACAAATCACCTAAAAAGAAATATAGCATACACCACAAAATAACATTGGATACAGATGTTAATGAATCATCTAGTTTTTTATGTATTTCTCTGAGCTGATTGTTCCTGTGTTTTTTGTACTGTATTCCTCACATGTAGTGTTGTCATTTTAGTGGTATTTTTAACATTGCCATATTGGCGGAAGGTTTGGCTAGCCATAAAACAAGGTTCAACCCACAATTTGTTATTCTTTAAATATCCTGTACCAAGTCAGGAATACGGCAGTTGTTTTTGTCGCAGTTCAGTGTTTCTGTTGTTCCGCTGTTTTCTTTATATAGTTGTTGTGTTTCCCTCAGTTTTAGTTTATAACCCGGATTTGCTTTCGCTTAGTTGATTTATGACTATTGAACAGCGGTAAACTTCTGTTGCCTTTATTTAGATGATTTACTCTAAACCAACAGAATAAATTAATCGAAATTGGAGAGACAGAATAATCATTGATGATGATGGACGGATGCTTAACGTCCAGCGGCAAATTGATATGCATATTCAGAACAAGAACATGTTAATGTAATATAAATATTAACCTTGCTTTGTTTTGACCAACACACTGAGCCGGATTTTTAACGTGCTAGTTCCCAAGTTAACAGTCCGCAGATAGACATGTCACCTTTCCAGACAATTTATTCTTACTCCGAGCCAGAATAATCATTGGAATTGGGACATAATTTATTATTATACTATTCAAAGATTGAAACAATTAACCACATTTCAATTAATCACTTACATCTCAAAACAACTATCTGTCGTTTGATGTCAATTTTGTTTGTTGGGTTGCTGTTTCCGTGACATTTACCCCAATTGTTTCATCGTCCTGAATATGCATGTAATATTTGCAACTAGACGTTACACAAACAAAAATCAACCAATCAATCAATCATCTTATGCATGCATACGTAATTTAAAGAAGTTGTGTTTAGATAAAAAAAAATTATCATTGCATCTTTGAAACGTGTTTGTCTTGAACAATTAATCTCGTCCAATTTTGTCTTTCAATCATTGTGCCATTCGATGTAATTAACAATTAGTCTCGTACAATTTGGGCATTCAATCATTGTGCCACTCGATGTCTTTAACAATTAATCTCGTACAACATTGGCTTTCAATAATTGTGCCACTCGATGTCTTTAACAATTAATCTCGTACAACTTTGGCATTCAATCATTGTGCCACTCGATGTCTTTAAGTGCCAGTCTGCCTAAGTATCAGGCAGTGACCAAAACATGATAGTCTCAGATTTTGATGAAAACTTGCACAAATCATCTGAATAACAAGTTATAAAGAGAAAATTACTTTTCGGACCAATTACATATGGTTGCTATGGAAACAGAGCCATTTCATTTTCCAAAGAACGAATTATTGAGATTAGCATAAAACTGACAGTTTTTCACTATTTCAGTCTCATGAAAACTGCTGTTCATATAAAATGTAGTATTTCTCCATTGTACTGCAATTTTTTCAACTATCAAATATTCTTGAAGAACAGCTGTTTTGATGAAATTCTATTTCATTCCTGAAATTTTGGGGTACGGATGGTCTCCATGGACCATAATGTCCAAAAAGCCAAAAAAGGCCAGAAATCAAGTTCAAATATTTTCTATTACCAGAACAGCATATACATGGTGTTACTTAATATGGAACAAGTAGTGGTCATACTTTCATTATTTCATAAAAGCTCGGTGGGTTTTTTCCAAATATTGAGTAACCATAGCAACAAAGTTAACCCTATAGCAACAAAGCTAAACAAAACAAATTGTAACAAATGTATTCAATATTAAAGACTAAATACATATAAATGGACTAAATATGATTTATTTAAGCTAGTCTCATTCCAGTGTTGTCAATTTTTCCAGTTTTTTCCCGTAAAATATTACATAGCAACCGAAAATTGTCCTTAGCAACCAAAATGAACAAACTTAATTTTTTTTGGTTTTTTTTATACAAAAATATTCTCCAGTGCAAAAAGCGACAATTAAGTGGTTAGATATCAATCATTTCGATATAAAATCAGTAAATTAAACAATATCTACATTTCATTAGCAACAACTTTAACCCCCTAGTAACAAAACAGATTCTTTCAAAAGTTTCACATTTTTGGTGTGAGCTTACTTCTTATACCAGATTCATATTGGTTTGAGACATATCATTATAGTTACTGACACTATCATGCTCTAAAATTTGTATTACAACCTGGTGTTTTTTTTTAAACAAGGGATATGCATAACAACCAATAAATACTCCTTAGCAACAGAAAAGTATGCATATTCCACATTCTTTCTATCAAAATTATAGGCTATTATTTAAATTATACATTTTTTTATGTTAAATGCTTCAATATTGAATTGCTATTAATAATTGAAAACTAACCGGAACTACAAAACTTCAACGTTGACCTTTGAATCATGAAAATGAGGTAAAGGTAAGATAACACCAAATGCATAGACATATACACCTTGCGATCGTTCTATACACCAACCTTTTGCTTACAGCACTCGAACAACAGACCAAAACACAATTTTGTTTTCACTAATGCATCCTGAAAATGAGGTCAATGTCATATGAAACCTGCCAGACTGACATATACTTATAATTATTCCATAAACCAAATAAAGTTATTTATTGCATAAAGTACTTGTTTGAAGGACCAAAAACACAAAAACTTATTGGTCACTAATGAACCATGAAAATGGGGACAAGGTCAGATGGAACCTGCCAGATCTAGACAGACATCTATCCCTTACAATCATTCCATACACCACACATAGTTGACCTACTGCTTATATAAGAGAAATGAACCTATTCATGCATGAAACTTTCACCTTGATCACTGATCCATGAAATGAGGTTGAGGTCAAGTGAACCCTGTCTGACTGCCAAGGAGACGTAGCAAGTAACCCATATACCAAATAAAGTTATCCTAATATTATTCATTATACCGGTAAGTGAGAAATTCGCATGACCAAAAAACTAAAAAAAAACATTTGAGCAGTCACTGAACCATGAAAATGAGGACCAGGATTTGGGACATATGACAGACGGAAACTTTGTAACATAAGGTATCTGCTAACAAGCTCTTCTTATTTATATTACGAATCCAGGTCTTCTACGGTTCTACCCTCTAAAATATAATAGTTGGCCCTACCACCGTCGGATTGTAATGCCTTTGTCTTGCATACTGTGACACTGCGAGACGAAATGTAAGTCATAAAAACATGCAACATTTTTCAAAAAGAAAACAGTAAAATGCACAAATTATTGCATTCATTTATTATAATATTTTTAAAAGTAACTGACCAAATTAGAGATTTATTTATGCTAATACAGGAAAAGCTCTTCCAAATTCTGATTGCAGAATGCAAGTTCTTATCATTGAGATACTCAACCAATCTCAACATTCAAATGTTTTTAAAAACTTCTGTCACATACATGTAATTCCTGATTTAAGTTTTCAGACTTTTCAGAGTCTTCTTATATTTATCATGTCTTATTATTTTATCTGTCATTCAGGTTTTGTATATCTGTTCTTTAGGTTCAACCATGGTTATAAAATTTCCCAACAAATAGAGGCTAAGTTGTCATCCTTCACTTCAGAAATGTTGGTCAATTTGAAGGCACGCTATTTACTTATGTCCATTTGCTACAAACATTTTGAACTTCCTACTCAAGTGCGCAATATTGGCAACACAATATGCTGAGCCTCATTGAACTGTAGTTGAATCTTTTAATCATCAATCCTGCAATCATATGAAATTTCAGTAAAAATCAAAATAAATATAATAGCAATTCATTTACAGTTCATGTTGTTAATTTCAAGTTCAATGAATCACTTTGGTTGAATGAAATGTAAATGATTGAAGTTTAAATAAAATGCTCCACTGGGTGCAGCTTGATACGACCGCAGAGGTCGAACCCTGAACAGTTGGGGCAAGTATGGACACAACATTCAAGCTTGATACAGCACTGAATTTGGATTGTGATTAAATATTTGACATAGCATAGGTTTCTGACACAGAATGAATGTGGTCTAAGAACTTGAAATTTTTTTAATTTACCTATTCAAACTATATAATTATTATTTGCTTTTATATATAAATCAGAAATAACCAATTTCAAATTTAAAATCCCCCCCTCAAATTTTTTGAACCCCCTTATGATTCATCACCCCCAAACTCAATCCCAGCCTTCCCTTTGTGGTATGGTACCTTGCAGTACAATTTTAGAGAGATCCATACACTTACACACAAGATATTGTCCTGAAACTAGAAAAATGCTTGTTTTTTGCCCCTTTTTGGCCCCTAATTCCTAAACTTTTAAGGCAATTACCCCCAAAATCAATCCCAGCCTTCCCTTTGTGGTATGGTACCTTGCATTACAATTTCAGAGAGATCTATACACTTGAACACAAGTTATTGTCTGGAAACTAGAAACATACTTATTTTTGGCCCTTTTTTGGCCCCTAATTCCTAAACTTTTTGGGCAATTACCCCAAAACTCAATTCCAGCTTTCCCTTTGTGATATGGAACCTTGTGGTACAATTTCATAAAGATCCATACACTTACTCACAAGTTATTGTCATGAAACTAGAAAAATGCTTGTTTTGTGCCGCTTTTTTGGCCCCCAATTCCTAAAATTTTGAGGCAATTACCCCCAATATCAATCCCAGCATTCCCTTTGTGATATGGAACCTTGTGGTACAATGTCAGAGAGATCCATAGACTAACACACAAGTTATGTCTGGAAGTTACAAAAATGCTTATTTTTGGCCCCTAATTCCTTATCTGTTGGTACCATAACTCCCAAAATCAATCCCAACCTTCCTTTTGTGGTATTGAACCTTATGGTAAAATTTCATAGAGATTCATTCATTTAAACTAAAGTTAGAGTGCGAAAACCATTGTGTCTTCGGACGACGACGCCGCCAACGTCATACCAATATACGACCGCTTTTTGCGGTCGTATAAAAATGAACACTAAGGAAACGACCATTAATTTTAGTACATGTACTAGTATGTGAACAAGCGGACCAATATATAAATTTATGTGCAAGTCCAAGGTGGAACATTGTTTTTTTTTTTTTTTTTTTTGCTTTATACCAGTGATTTTGCAATCACTTGTCATTTTTCCCTTTAGAAATATCAAAAGTATTTCACTAAATATAGTACAAGTTTAAAAAATAAACTTGACACAGTCTATATGTTAATTTGGTAGAAAAATTCAAATGATGAAATCAAATAGTTATACTCTGAAATGTTTAAATATGCCAAATATTCAAAGTGAATGAACCATTACTAAAAATGTCAGTAGAAATATAAGAAATGCCATTAATGCTAAATACAACTGCATACCAAATTAGAGGGTGGTAATGGGGTACCAGTCCATCATTAAGATTAAGGGTAAGAATTCTTGCCAAAGGGCGTTAACGGTAATTTTGGTCTATGACGATAAAATGTACACTTTCTTTTTAACCGTAAAGAAATCGACTGATTTTGACGAATCATGTTAACTTTTTCTCCAAAATTAACAGTGATGATAACTTTTTGAGGTCTCTGATGAATCACAATAACTTTCGGATATTATGACAAATCACGGTAAAATTTTAACCAATTTGACGCTTACGGTAGCCTTAAATGACCGTTTGACGCCTGACAATACAGTGCATTCCTACCCTCAAATAAAACTAACTTATCATAAGTGGTTCTTTGTTAACTGATCTACACGAAATCACACACTTTAAAATGTAAACTAGTTGCTAAAATGATAAAATCATTAGACCATGACCAAGGGTCGAAGTAAGGGGATAGGGCCAAATAACCTCCATAGATATAAGATGCATCAAATTGAATGCTTATACAACTTTATATATCAAATACTATTTATTTACCATTAGTAGTTCCACTTAAACTGACCTAATTAAAAAATTTTAAACACCAATATGTTTTTGAGTAGAGAAAAGAAATGCATGATTTTTTTACAAGTAAAAAGACTCTTGATGTTGTTGACAATACATGTGTAGGTGATATCTGCATAATTCTTGTTTAGCATTGTCAATATTTTACCAAAGTAGCTCCAGCAGAAAATGTACATGTAGGTCATATTGACCTAGTTCTTGTTGTGACATATATATATGTATATCTATATCATAAGATGAATTAACCACTTGCTCAAAACAGAACCAGCAAAAATCATTTTGTAAATCAGCATTTGCATACTGACGGGAAAATCTATGATAATGAGCTGTCCCGTTGTGGATGGGTATGACAAAAACATCTTGTAGCTGAAGTAATTCTCATCTATAATTTCTTAAATCACAAAATCGTTTAAAAAAAAATATTTCACCGAAAAAAATGGGCCCACTAGTGGAGATGGGTTGAAGTAAACATTCTATCACTCAAATTTACTGGTATACATAAAAAGTATCTAAACTCAAATAATTTGTACCTGTGCAATTCAATAGTCTTCTGTAAACAGTTCTTTCAAATATCAAAGGTATGTGTCTTAACAAATCACGACTGCAATTCAGCAAATCCCTGAAGAAAAAGTTCAAATTTGGTAAGTCTGATAAAAATATATATACATGTACATGAATATGAATGAAGGAATGAATTTATTTATACAATTCAAATTCCTTTGTAGCTCTTACTAAAGACTTACTTCAGACCAATCTAATAAGTTGCGAATAACATTAACTAAGAAAATTATTCCTACAAGTACAAGTTATGCAGAATATGTTTTAACCCCTGAAAGCTAGCTATATATAGAGTTTCAAGGGCTCTGGGTTAAAACATTTTAGTAGATCAAAAATTATAAATAAGGTAATGGGCCTAAGGCAGACCAAAAATATGTATGTGTTTAAAGTACTAAAAATACTGACCCTATATTTTATGATTAAAAATGCCTAAAGTACACTGGAAAGTTTTTCTTGTCATTTTTTAATAGCACTGATAAAAACAACATATTCCTTATATTAAGCCAATAAGGTACAGTAATATCATCAAAATAGTTCCGTAATTGTTGAAGGCCTATTTGAGGAAAAAATAGTTGTTTCTTTGATAACCTTAACTATACATAAACATTTCTGTAAGTTTTTAACGAGCCCTATTTATATTGCGTCAAATTATTTCCCCCTGTTTAAACTAGTCGAAAACTTTAAAAAAAAATCATTTTGTACCTATCTTACCTAATAATTTTCAGTTGTAAGTCTATTTTTTTTTAGGTCTAAATGCATCATTATGTACATGATGTATGAAACTTAAACATTTGTTTAAGAATCACATGTGAACCTTCCTTTGGAAGGGCAATAGGAGGGTCGTAATGGGGGTACCTTCATGACGAATAATGGTAAAAATTCTTGACAAATGACGTTAACGGTAATTTTTGGTGCATGACGATAAAATGTACACTTTCTTTTAGACGATAAAAAAATCAACTGATTTCCAAAAATAACAGTAACGATAATTATTTGAGACCTCTGACGAATCACGATAAGGATATTTTGACGAATCACGGTAAAATTCAAATGACCGTTTGACGTCTGACGGTAAAGGGCATTCCTACCCTCCAATAGTACATTTTTCAGGGCCAGGGGTCTCCTTCAGTTTAGAACAAACTCATATTTTTGGCATTATCACCATTTTTTCTAAACATTCTTTATAAAATATGAGAAAAAAAAAGTTTACTTCTTTTCAATCTATAATTATCTAATAGAAAAAAATCTGCCGAAAAACAAAATATGAGTCTGATAATGAGCCCCCCTTTTATATTCATGTTGAACCTAAACCATTTTCAATATCATGATATTTTACAGTAAAATATATAATGGGGAAGGAGAATGGTGTGTGACCAAAATTATCTTTTGAATATATAATAATATGTAAATAGTGTACCTTGTGTTTAGAACCTAGAAAAAGGCCCTGCTCATCTGGATTGACACTGCTCTGCCTGGCTTTGATCCTTCCTTTGTGAGACGGTTGTGTACAACCAACATTCCTTCTCTTAATCTCATGCATATTCCTAGGGTTTGTTGGTGTTTTGGACAAACAAAGTATGAATGTTCATGTAAGTGGGAAAAGATCCCAATATTGTAAAAAGTCAATTTTCCCTCCGACTTGATTTTTGTCTAATTTTGAATATTTAATCCTAGGGAAGTGGTTCAACAATTCTATTACATTGTCCAATAACCGTGTTGTCTTTTCATCCATAGAATACTGTAAATTCCCTCATTCATCGTCAGATAAGATTGAAAAACTACAGTTCAATATTGTCTGCCACATGCATGACATCAGTATTGTTTACATCAAAAGAGTTCTGCTAGGGGAAGTAACTCTGTAAATTGTGTTCTTTCATGAACAAAGCAACAGAATCTTTGGAATGGAATTTTGACCAGTAGACAAAAAAACCCACCAGACGAAGTCTTAAACCTGAAATTTCTATTTGCTTAGTATTTATATTTGCAATCATTGTGATTGTACGGGTCTGGTAATAAAAAATATTTTGAATTGAAATTGCCTGAATTTACATAGGTTAATAGTAAAACATATAGAACTTCGAAGTGCTAATACATAATACTGCAATTGATTTTCTAAAATTTGATTATACAATTCTATTTGGATTAACTAAAGGTAACATATTTTGTATATGAGATGAATATTTGAAATATGTCATGTTTTGATTTTTTTAGAATTAGCCTGATTCTTAGACAGACTGGCACTTAACATTAATCTCGTACAATTTTGGCATTCAATCATTGTGCCACTCGATGTCTTTGGCAATTTATCTCGTACAATTTTGGCATTCAATCATTGTGCCACTCGATATTTTTTTTTAAAATAATCTCCTACAATTTTGACATTCAATCATCGTGCCACTCGATATCTTGAACAATTAATTTCGTACAATTTTGACATTCAATCATTGTGCAACTCGTTGTCTTTAACAATTCATCTCGTACAATTTTGGCTTCAATCTTTGTGCCACTCGATGTCTTTAACAATTGATCTCATACAATATTGGCATTCAATCATTGTGCCACTGGATGTCTTTAACAGATAATCTCGTACAATTTTTCATTCAATCATTGGGCCACTCGATGTCTTTAATACATAATCTCGTACAATTTTTCATTCAATCATTGTGCCACTCGATGTCTTTAACAATTAATCTCGTATAGTTTTGGCTTCAATCATTGTGGCACTCGATGTCTATTACAATTAACCTCGTACAATTTGGGCATTCAATCATTGTGCCACTCGATGTCTTTAACAATTAATCTCGTACAACATTGGCTTTCAATAATTGTGCCACTTGATGTCTTTAACAATTAATCTCGTACCACTTTGGCATTCAATCATTGTGCCACTCGATGTCTTTAATATTAATCTCGTACATTTTTGGCATTCAATCATTGTGCCACTCGATGTCTTTGGCAATTTATCTCGTACAATTTTGGCATTCAATCATTGTGCCACTCGAAATTTTTTTTTAAATTAATCTCCTACAATGTTGGCATTCAATCATCGTGGCACTCGATGTCTATTACAATTAACCTCGTACAATTTGGGCATTCAATCATTGTGCCACTCGATATCTTGAACAATTAATTTCGTACAATTTTGGCATTCAATCATTGTGCAACTCGTTGTCTTTAACAATTCATCTCGTACAATTTTGGCTTCAATCTGTGTGCCACTCGATGTCTTTAACAATTGATCTCATACAATTTTGGCATTCAATCATTGTGCCACTGGATGTCTTTAACAATTCATCTCGTACAATTTTTCATTCAATCATTGTGCCACTCGATGTCTTTAACACATAATCTCGTACAATTTTTCATTCAATCATTGTGCCACTCGATGTCTTTAACAATTAATCTCGTATAGTTTTGGCTTCAATCATTGTGGCACTCGATGTCTTTTACAATTAACCTCGTACAATTTTGGCATTCAATCATAGTGCCATTCGATGTCTTAAGAGTGTGGGAGTACTATAGCACTGCATTTGAATGAGTGAATTTCGAAATTTGTAAAGAAAGGGCAATAACTATATATCTTTATTCACATGAATCCAATGCAAACCATCAGTTCAGAGATAAAACTGAAACACGTCGTATTAATATATATATATATATATATATATATTTATTTATTTTCTTGATCGTACTGTTATGTCTTAATGTTCCATTCCAAATGAAGTGTTGAACACGGGGAACAAACGATCGAATTTTATCAATTTAGAAATATGATGAGTTTGTAAAAAAAGTCATTAGAATATAACTATTATCATTATCACTTATATATAATAACAAAAAGTATCACAAAGAACTTAAATATACGAAAATAACACATCCAAAATATCATGGTCATATCTTATCTTGCGATTGATTCAGTGTTAAATAATAAGAATTAAAAAAAAATCCAGAAAAGTTTTAGAAAAATATTCATTCAAAATGTGTATATGAAAATGTATCTGAAAATTACCAATTATCTGAGTTTTGTTACATGTTTTTTTGGGTAAAAACTCCGAATATTCTATTCGTAAATTCCAACTCCGCCACAGGCTTAAAAGTCGTTCGCTTAGTTATTCAAAGTTTGAAATGAAAATATTGCAGCCGAAACTTTATTATTATTAATTTTATTACGTTACCTCTGGTTGATACTTGCCATGTGAAAGATTAATTATTGGCCTTAAATAAAAGAACATCTAGAGGGTAACACACAGTTTTCAACAACAGTGATACAAGCTCTACAAGTTGTATATACAATCCAAGATCAGCAATCAACACCAAATTAGACTTGCTTTTTGCCATGACGTCTTTTTATGTCGTTCTGTTGATGATGTTTACCCTCACATTTCCCTTTGATTATGATTATGAGGGGCGGATCCAGTCATTTTGAAAAGGGGGGAGGGTTCCCATTCCAGGATACAGAGGGGTTCCACTCATATGTTCCCATTCAAATGCATTGATCGTCAAAAAAAGGAGGGGTTCTAACCCCTGAAGCCTCCCCCCCCCCTGGAACCGCCACGGATTATCGACCAATACTTTAGTTCTGGTATAACATCCTATATGATAAAACCAATGTTGCCAACATTAGGTCAAAGTAAATTACAGTCAGAACAGTTCCCAGATAGTTGCTAGAATGTAGACAGAAGTGTTACACCAACAGACAGAGTCGTAAAATCATTTATCGTGACAAAACAAAACCGGAGCAATATTGCGGCTGTTTTGTCTTACTTTATAACGGTTATACACACTATTTTGCATAGAAGGAAGCGCAAACATAATGACACTAGTAACTGGTTATATCCTTAAATTACGCTTCGAAACCCTGTGTGTTATTTAAAAGAGCCAATGATCTATTTGGCTGCACGTATGCAAATGTTTAAGAATAAAACCGTAAATGAACCACTGACCATGACGCGTGCTTGCTTCTAATGACTTTCATGTTATAAAACAAAATTTAAGATATATATGGGGTTGCCAATTCATTCAAGTGATGTCTTCATTGAATACTGTAAGTGTTATTCCACAGATGATTTAAAATAGGTTTTTGTGTTCCTGCTTCGGCTCGCTTAATCTGTTCTTACTGGTATTTATCTTATATCTCAATGGCATATTCCAAATTCTCTCTTTTTATTCTACATTGAGGTGTAAACCCATCAGTATATATCCAATTTTGATGAAGTTGACGGATTTTTGTTCAAGAAGTCTCTTAAAACAAGTAAAATAACAAAAATACCGAACTCCGTGGAAAATTTAAAACGGAAAATCCCCAATCAAATAGCAAAATCAAAAGCTCAAAAACATCAAACGAATGAATAATAACTGTCATATTCCTGACTTAGTACAGGCATTTTCTTATGTAGGAAATGGTGGATTAAATCTGGTTTTATAGCTAGCTAAACCTCTCTCTTGTTTGTCATTCCATTATGTTGATAACGATGTGTTAACAAAAGACATAATAGGTAAAAATGTGAAAAAATAGGAGTGCAGCAGTCAACATTGTGTTATAATCTTAATCACCAGTAAACCAAACAAATCTGTCAACATGGAATTACAAAAGAGGCATATAAACAAAGCACATAAGCATAAATGAAAGACAAGAATACAAAAAATTACCATAGCACAGTAACACATTGACGGGATGTATAAGTACCGAGCAACGTCAAATGGATATTTCCAAAAATAGACTAAACAGTAAAAGTTTTATTCACTGAGACAAATAAAGGATTACTATAACCCGTTATTAAGATGATAAACAACGTCAGTACCTAGAATCTATACTTCAAGACCATCTTGTATTATTTGTGAAGTTGATACGGAATATTTATCAACAAGGTTTTGGTATCTTCCGATGAACTTTTTTTAGAAAAAGGAGGAGATGTTCTTTGACATACCCCTGGTTCATCAACTTTCTGCTCAGACACTTCTGACGTTTTACAAGGTCTGAGTAGCAAAAAAACCCACAAATACGGAATAATTGAGTACAGTTATTCTTATTGTGGACAGTAAATGATTCTGTTGGAATTGTACGGTTCTTGTCTAAATCCATCATGACATATACACTTTTTTCTTTTACTTTTATCTTTAATTTCATGGCTATGTCATTGTAAACTAATTATTGGCAAAGTTGATTTCAGTTCGCGTAATTATACCAGCTTTATAAGATTACAGATAAACCGATTATATACAAAGCACAAAAATGTAGTCAGTCACCTCAAAAGCTAACCAAACCTGTAAACAGACTTATTCACAAGGGTTATAGTTACGATACTGTTATCAAGTAATCAATAATGGTATTTTTGGAATTATATTGATTAAGTCATAGGGTCTTTGCATAGAAAAATAAACACATTTCTTCTGAAACCAGTTTTTGGCATGATACGGGTTACGTTCTTCTCGGTTATTTTATGATGGCATGATTCTTAACCCCTTATAATGTGAGGGGTTGTGGTTGATTTTCATATGATGAAGACATGATCTTTCGATCAGTTCAATTGAGGTCTGGAGCTGGCATGGCAGTAACTGCCAGTAGTCTGTTATTAATTAATCTTGATCAATGCCATTTTGCTTAGTTTCTTCTCTAACCTATTCTATCATCGGACTCGGACTTTTTTTAACTTGAGTTTTACTGTGCGTATTGCTGTGTGTCCCTCCCCCCACCAAACCACATCAACTAGAGGTGTAAAAAGACGGTTGAGAGCTCACAAGTGTAAGTATATGTTTAACCTCACTTCATTTTTGCTTCTGTCATAAGTCAAGAACCTCTAGCCTTTGTTAGTCTTGTGTATTTCTTATTTATTTTGGCTCATTTGTATGTTTTGGAGTTACGTGTGGTGTCCATTTAACTGAACTAATATACATAATTGTTAAGGGGCAAGCTGAAGCCCGCATCTGGGGGCAGGATTTTCTCGCTGCGTTGAAGACCCATTGGTGGCCTTGGTTGTTGTGAGCTCTTTGGTCGAATTATTGTCTCTTTGACACATTCCCCGTTTCCAATATCTATTCGGTGTTTGTAAAAAGCGTAGAAGCCGGGTCTTTCTAGTACATGCATCATGTTTGGAGCGTATATG